GAGAAAATGTCATGATTTGGGTTCGAATATGAGCCTTTGACTACAAAGCGTCTTCTGGGCATTTTCTGGGTTACCAGGGAGACAAATCCCATCTCATCTAATCTAGGATTGGTTGGCTAAAAGGAGCAACAGCAAAGCAGTGAAATAAGGGATGTATTTATACGTGCGTGTCCTTGAAAGCTAATTAAAATGCAGTTTAGCTGCATCGTGACGTAATTTCGTGGAAGCTGGGGAACATGCACACTCCACCTCACCAGCAGGTTTGAACCTGAAACTTTCTCTTCTTCACTGAGAACCTCCCCACAGCAAGGTAACAGAAGCCCTCTTCTGTCAGAAAATGTATTCAGCTCGACTTAAATAGATGCTGCCACGCTTTATTTTCTCTGGTGGGTTTTTATCATGATGACAGAGATCAAAGATCAGGCAATAATCGTCCAAAATTTACTTCAGGAGCTATAAAAAATTCACATCAGGGGAGACATTCAGAATGTTCTCACTGAGCTGCGTCTCTTCTAATTGATCACTTTGCCCAAACAGCAATAACCTGTCAGTCTTTAGAATTGCTCCAGTTAGTTCACAGAAATATAGTCAATATAAGCAGGTTTTGGAGGTTCTGGTGCGGGGATTTTTTTTTGCTGTAGTCTCCGGTGACGAGACGCCCCTGAGCCTCGGCTCGCCAAGCCTTCTCCATACTGATGAATGTGCTTCATTGTCTTTTGAATAATACACAGAGTGAACATGAAAGGAGTGCGTTTGAAGGAAGAATCTGCAGTGTACGCAAAATTTAGTTTGGCTTAAAAAATGTGTCTATTGGAAACCTGTCTTCATGGTTGACGCATGTTATACTCACAAAGCCAAAGAACGCCGTCAAAGCGGTTCAACTCATGGGCTGTTCGATTTCATCAGTTTGTGGTGCCGAGTGCATTCCGGAAGATTTATATATTTATTTTATTTGAAGCATTGTAATTTACTTTCATAGCGCACTTGCACTCCCTTCGCCTGCATCGTAGACTTCTACCTCAGATAGTGATTTCCCATATTTCCCAGAGCGACTTCAGCAACCCCTCGAGAAGGGGCATGAACTTGTTCTACCCAGCGGTTTGTGTTTCATGTAGGTGGAGAGAGAGTGGTAGTAATAGCAAAGAGCAAGAGTTTCTGGTCCATTGAGGCTACTGTCAGTGAAGAAATTGGCATCTCTGCCTCTGTGTGATTGCTGAACATCAGCGCAACATGGTGAGTCTAGAAAGAAGCCCTTGATCTTTTATTCGCAGGGAAAACAAACACTGACTTTTAATGCTGCCGTAGTGGATATCTGGACTTTTCCTGTGTTTGAAATGTGCTGCAAACTGTTAGTATGTAGACACGACATAAGGAGAATGTTTGGTCTGCTACCTACAGAAAAATACAGTCCTGAACAACAGAATGCAACCAGGAACGGAGGCTTTTGTGTCATGTTTAAACCACTTTTTTCAAACCATATACTCTAGAAAAAAACTTCTTTTCACTGCTGCTACTTATAGTTTCCTGACAATCAAGCGTTGTAGTTAATTACCTCTCCATACATTAATGCATTATTGAAATATTCTTCATTTTGAAAACAAAGCGAAGACGTGTTGCGCAAATTTTTCAAAATTTTCTTCTTTTGAAAACCGATTTAGGTCAAAAAGGCGTTTCAATTTTTTTCTTTTTCACCACGTCATCACTGGCTAAATATGAAAACACGGGCTATTGATCTTGAAATAATCCTGCAATAATAAGTCTGATACTAATTAAGTCATGGCATATTATCCACCCCTACACATAATTGAATACAAGTGGTTATTAACACTACATTACTCTTATCTTAATAGCGAGAATACGCTGCCTTTATTTTACAGGAAAATTCATCTTACAGTCCAGTAACGTGAGCTGAACTGACTTTATTGGCATTTAATGCTAAATGAGACAGACAGTCAATGAGTCCGTCCTCTGTGCTGAAACAGAAAATATGCTTGCGAGGAGACTGCAAACTCTGCAACTGCTAAAAGCCTGGTAATTTCAGAGGCTTTTACTGAGCCGCTGTGTTTATGCTTAAAACACCTGGTGGTTGTGGGTTTTGTTGATTTTTTATTTTGTGCTGCGCTGTGCAATTTTGACTAAAATGCTGTTTTATATATATATATTTAAATACATAGAACTTGTTTATACTGCATAAACATATTGACTGCTTTTTATTGTCTTGAGAAGATTTAATACACAGGATGTGGAGCTGGCGGTAAATAATGACTATCAGAGGACTTTTAGAACCGGATCACATCACCTGACAAACTACTGCTCACCTGGAAGCCACCAGAAAACTCTGAATATCAGCTTTAATTGTGAATTTGAGCATTAGTTTGCTGATTAGAGTTATTCTGTTGAGCTCATATGAGTTCATTTTTATGCAAACTAATCGTTGCATACTTATTTTTGCATTAATTATTCAGTTCATTTTGGTCCAAAACATTATTCTGGTGCACTCCTACACCTCCTGCCATCTCTACATCTCACCAAAACCCTTTTTTTATACAGTAAAGCCAAACTGTAAATCAACATTTTCCAGTTATCTCTGTACAAAGCCAGACTAGCTGCTCGTTCCGCTGCCACACTTTGTTCGAAGCGATGCTAACCAACCACCGACTGTAGGCTAATATTTGAGGAACAGATATGAGGCTGGTATCAATCTCCTCATCTTCCTCTAATAGCTTCGCAAACACCTCCATGATTGTTTCTGTAGCTTCTCCCTGTCTGTCAGTAAAGGTTTCACCCGGAAAGCATCATGTAGCGTTTATCAGGACTGATCTGAAAACAGGGAGAAGACCTCGACTGCTAAAAGCTGCTGACTCGGGCAGTGGCAGCGATAATCAGGAAGTCATGCTCTCATCGATGAAACAGTGAGTGGAAAACAACAGTCACTTGCCTTCTTTATACTTTTTTTTAACCACATATTTAACAAACCAGATGTGATGCCTAATTATTCAGCTCTAGAGGTGTTACTGGTGGATCCTGTTGTTGCTTTTGGACAGAGCCAGACCTGCTGCGTCCAGTCTTTGTGATACATCTATACATACAGACATCTATACATACAGACATGTATACATGTAGCTGTGGCATGTGTAAAGACTGTGTTCTAACCCATTTCATTAGCAAACACCAGACTTTTGTGCTGCTTTTTGGAAACTGGAAAGAATAGAAAACCAAGAACTAAGCAACAATAATTAATATTTCACAGATGAGAAGTTGTTTTACAATATTTTAGTGTTAGAACCAGAAATTTTGCACCTTATTTCTATGACCAGCACGATTTGCACGTTACTTGCACCTTCTTTAGCACATTAGCATTCTTATTTTTTCTTATTTCTTCTTAAATGTAACGTGTGTGAGCTACTGGATGCCTTGACTTTTACGAAGGGAACAATTAAAGCATCTGTCTATCTGAATTTGATTAAACTAATTCAACTTTAAGCGACTCTCCTGATACTAAAATTAAAATAACACGAGCTTAAGTCTGGTAAAGAAAAAAAAATCAAAGTAAGATATCAGTAAGATGCCAAAAATCCTATTTGTCAGTCAGCTATGTCAATGTATGTGCTACTGTGTAAAGTAAAACATTTAATTTAAATAGTTGAATGTGTTTAATTGCACTCATGTGACATGCAGTAAAAGTTAATTTAGTACAAAAGCATGCAGAACTGCACAAAATGATCATGTGACTTACAATATAAATTAGCATTTATTCCTAGATTACAAACAAAAACTGAAAAAGAATAGACTTTGCAACTAATTACCCGGGGTAAATGCATTACTTATCACTGTTACTGTCTACAGGAAATTAGCAAAACCTGCATTTCTAATCCATAGCAGACAGACACCACTCCCTATATGACTATCACTATACATATTTATATAAATTTATAGAAAGCATTGAGCGTGCAATCCACAAAACTGAGTCCAAAGTATTCTGTGTCCTCATAACTTGAGACTACGCTCCCAGAAAAACTGAGCAATACCTCCTCCAGACTCCCTAAAAGTCTTAATAAGGAGTAAACAGAGCTATCAGGTTGTCAGAAAAATGACGAGAACATCCTGTTTTGGGTCCCAAAACTCCCAACTTGGCAAAAAAACCTCCCGCTCTGTTGAGTAAGAGCTGCTGGGTCACCAAATGTGATAAAAGCACTGAAAATAGGCAACCGGGGGACGTATTATAGGTTGATACGGTTTATCAATAACAGATGTCAGGAAGCGCCAGGGTAACCCCCAATGGTGGGAGTGTCTGGGAGGAAGTTAGGAAGAGATTCTACCACAATAAAATCCAAGTATATTCTGTACAATAATTAGCTTTTTATATTCTGCAGAAGACATGCTCAGATCTTTTGTGTCATAAAAGTTTTTTACACCACAGATTTTAAGGTATAATAAATCATGAAAACTGGTTAAAATTCAGTGAGTTCTAATCGTTTTATTGTGGATAAACCTCCTGCCTCCATGGACACACATGCATTAGGAAGCTTCCTCTGACAAACATGGTGGCTCAGCTGTGCGAGCTATGTTTAAATGCTGGTTTCTGCCAAACAAACACAATCGGCCGCTGATTCCAGCTTCATATCAAGCATGCAGATATTAGAGTGCTATTGATTTTATTATCTAATTTGCTGGACCAAAGCGAAGAAGCACATTTCCCTTTTAAAGATTCATGTGCCTGCACTGAAGGAACATGGCTGAACGCACCGAGTTTGAGGAATGAATGCAGGTGAAGTAACGTCCAACATTACACGCCATAGTTTCCTTTAAGCACCTACTGTGTTATTTTCGTCATGTCTTTCCTGACCTAGAGTTTTTTTTCCTTTCTATCTGATCACGATGAGGTGAAACGTGGCCACGGGCAAGTTTCTTCATTACGGCTGCCAGTGACGAGAAAGCGGCGCCTCTAATACGCAGCATGTTCGTTGCGTTTCCTCCGAACGACATATGTATTCCTGAACTGTACCTATTTCTGGCATCCACTCAGATGCTGAATCACCACTCGAGTTGGTAATATTTTATTTCCCCCCACCACCACCACCACCACCACCCCGCTGGTTTTAAGGCTCAGTTGCTCTTGTGTTGCCATTAATTTTCTAGTTAAGAAACGATACACACCATAGCAATTTTAATTTTCTCTTTAATGTCACACTAATTGTTTTTTTTTTTTCCTAATAACAGCCATATCAGGGAGGTATTTTTCATATCAGCATATGCAAGTGGGTGTAACTGTGTAATCCTGTTCTTGATGGTGACAATGACTCTAAGCTATACATGCTGCTGCTTTATGACTGTCAAAATGGACTGCTTTTTACAGCAGCTGTGAGCTAAACCCTGCTGCCATCTGCGTCACCCCTTTGATATATTTTTTTTTTTTCCACCGTGCAAACTCTGGCTCCGAAAGCTCACACCGGCGCCCAGAAAATCCCAGTTTCCCGAGCTTCAAACAGACCAGCGTTAAGTCAACAGGTGATATCATTGTCACATTATTTTTCTTTTTTTTTGCAGTCCATGGGCAGCGCTAATGTGGCTTTGTCAGAGTAATAACAAGGCCGGTAAATGAATGAATTCAATTACTGTGGCACAGATTTGGAGCACTACAATAGTGATACCGCTGGGCTTTATGAATATAGCCCACTGTGTACTTCCATTTGGTGAATGCTTTAATGCTCTTGGACATCAGAGGTGTATAACAGCGCAGAAAACATAATACACTTCTGCACGGTTTCACTCCGAGCTCCGTAAACTGCTGTCGTCCCCGTCCACCCTCCTCCAACCCCCTCCCCGAGCAAAAAAAAATTTAGAAACAGCCTCTGAACTGCCAGCCTCACCCACACTACCTTGGATCAGGAATTTTTCATGGAGCAAAGTAAAACGGAAATTCACAATGACATTCAGGCTAATCTACACCCACCTTACCTCATTCTACTCTGGCTGTCTAAGAAAAGCCTGGTACACTAAATTTGCTGAAGTGAGAGGAGGCAGGATGAGAGAGAGAGAGAAGGAAAAAGTAACACCAGTGGTTCTGTCCTTATCGGCGCACTGTGTACAGCAACCAGTCACATAATGCTGCAGTCAAATGTGCGAGGTAAGGTGTAAGGGAAAAAAAAAAGATGAATTTGACACATACAGTACAGTGTGTTTCCTGAAAAGGTGCATTAATTACAACCATGCACAAAAACTTGAGGGGTTCGGCTTTCTCCAGTTTAGCTCCTGATTTATTAAGACCACTTATGCAAATCAAGTCAATTGCAATTTTCCAATTAGAATACCTGAGGCGCAACCATAGTCCCACATGCCACAGCAGAGCTCTCAAAACAACAGACGATGCAGATGACAGAGGAAACTGCAGCTGTGCCACAGGCCACGAGATCAGGGGCTGCCAGAAGTTTTTTCTTTTTTTTTTTTTTTTAAATACATGCCGCTCCGGCTTGATCCGAGATTTCAGCTTGTTTTGTTTATCTTCATCAAGCTGCGATAATATAACGTGTCTTGGCAATCTATTAGTTGTTTTTAATCTCATCGTCTGACATTTGAAATAAATATACTTTGTGTAATTATGCACACTTTTGTTTAGTAAATCAACGGGGAGTGATCAAATTTAATAATCTCGAGGTTTGTTTTTTTTTTCCTCACCCTGCTACTGTCACTCAGCGAAAATGCATTTTATTTGGCCTAAATTTGCTAAAAGCCTCCTGCCAGGTATCTGAATCATTTACACACTCACAGGTTAGCGGATCAGAATTGTTTATCCAAGCATCCACCTGCAATGAAACCCGCCGCAATCATTGGCAGTAATGTAGTAATAGAGGGTTGCACCAACCTGCACCAGGCCGGTTAGGTGTTCCAGCACGCCCTCCATGGGAAGCTGCAGGAGATGATTGTTTCTTAGATTGAGGCGAGCCAGATTAACTCTGGAGAACACGCCGAGAGGGAGACTCCGCAGCAGGTTGGCGTTGAGGAACAACAGCTGGAGGGACGGCATGGAGTCGAAGGTGCCGGGATCGACTTCGCGGATCTCGTTGTACTCAAAATAAAGGTATCTAAAGACAGGAGAGGGGAAGGCAGTGTCACGGCGTTTGCATGCAAAGAGGCTAAATGGAGGGACTGTGGAGAAAGAAGGATAATTGAACCAGGCTTCTGCATTTTGCACACGTTTAAAGCTCTTAATTTTGCGGTATTCTGAGGGTATTTCTTGCCTCTCCCTGCACCCCGCGCCGGTTAATATTCAAGTCACAAAGTCATAACAGAAAATTTAATTTAATCTTCTCATTCCCTGTTCACAGCTTATAAACTGATCGGTATCAAATGATATTGTGTAATTTTACTCTGATGACTACTTACATTGGCCTTGGCACGCCTTAATATCTCATTAAATCATATTAAGCAAACTTTGAATTTTTAAGTTTTCCTTTTTAAATAATAGAAATCAGTGTGAAGTCTGAACGGAGACTTTTCCCCGCATGCTAGTCGCTGAATACACTTTCACGGCCGAAATAGATCTGGTTTGAATTACTTATCCCGCTCTCCCACCATTAAGTCACTAACAAAGGCTAACGAGAGGTTAAGAGGTAGACATTTTGAATGTCCAGAGAGGATCTTTATTATTGATTAATAGTCAGATTAATGGGTCTGTAGATTTTCTGAACCTTATCTTGAAATATAGAGACAGAGGAGCTGGAAAACTAAAGGCTGAATGATGTTCTGAATATGAAGGTGTCATGGCACAAAGCTGCTCATCCTTTCGACAGCAGGCCTCCAATAAACGCTGATCTGTTGTCTTCATCAGTGTTTAATTCACTGAATAAATACCGACTGTAGATATGTATTATTTGTAGGAGAATTGTTGTTTTTTTTAAAGCTTAATCTGACAATGATACACATATGCATCACTCTGACAACGCTTTTTTCTCTCTCTCTATTATAAGCCTTCTTCCAAAACACAAATTCCTGGCAACATCCAGGCGTCTCACTGTCTTATCAACACCTCTGTATGCAAATACAAAAAAACATTAATTTTCACGTTGTCACTCATACCAGGCTCACACCTCAACTGAAGCATGCCATTAGGCAGCGTGACTAACAAATGACACTCCTGGAAGAGAATGGGCACCTTTCATTTCAATCAAACTCCAGCATAATGGTAATCAAAATGTTCTGCTCCGTGCTATGCCAGCATTACAGTGAAATTAATTTCCACATACTCCTAAACAAATCTCTAAATACCTAAGCTGACATGTGGTTCCAGTTTGTGCGTTTGTCTCAAGTGCAGTGGAGGGAATGTGCTTGAAATGCTGGAAAGGAAGAAAAAAACAACAACAACAAACAAACCAAAAAATAAAAAAAAAATCCTACCTTAGATTCTGCAGCCCTAGAAACATGTGGGGGCTCAGTCTCTCCAGGTTGTTTCCGTTCAGGTAGAGACTCCTCAGGCTTGTTAGGCTCGAAAAGGCCCCCTCCTGGAGGTAGGAAATGCGGTTGTTCCCCAGGTGAAGCAGGTCAAGACTGGAGAAATTCCAGAAGTCCGTGCGGTAGATCCTCTGGATTAAATTTCCACTCAGGTAGAGTTTGCGGCCGTTGAGAGGCCGAGGTGTGAGCTGGGACACATTGAGGAAGCTGTTCTCCTTGCAGTTGACAGTGAGGCCCAGGTCTGTGATGTGCAGGTTGCAAGTGCAGCCCAGCGGACAGATAATAGGGATGGGGGGCCGTGTTTGGTAACCAGCCACGGGGGGATTCTGGTTGGGCATCAGGCTGCGAGGCGTTGGGGACGTCCGGGAGGGTCGAGGCCTTTTAGTCGGCCTCGGCTGCCTCTCTCGGTCTTTACGCTCTGCCGAGGAAGAGGACGACGACGTGGAGGAAGTGTGAGTGTTCTGGCGGGAGCCGTGCACCATAGAGGAAGGTTTAGTGGGCCTGGCTCGCCCAGGATGTGAGTTGGGTTTGGAGTTAGGGGGCCAGTGCTGAGGCTGTGATCCTGCTGCCGGACCACCCCCCTCTCCTTGTAGCTCTTTATCCGGGAGGTCAGCGCACAGCTCTTTGCGGGGGATTTCTCTCAGGTCCTTGCCGTGAAGGTGGAAGGGATATTCGCAGGTAACCTCCCCGACTACAGCCGTGTAGGGGATCTGACCCAGCCACTGCTGTAGCTGCACTGCCTCGCAGCCACAGATCCAGGGATTCTCCTCCAGCTGCAGCTCCATCAGGGAGCGGCCAACGTACTCCAGGGTCCCAGCATATGCCAGGCTCTTCAGACGGTTTCCCCGCAGGTCCAGATGAGTCAGAGACACAGATCTGGCGCAGGAGGAGGAGAAGGGAGATAGTTAGCTAGGTTAGATGAAAGGACATTGTGATAGTGAGATAAAATAAAGGTTCACACATTCCAATGCAGAGAAATCTGCTTTTTATCTGATGATTAAGCTGTCTTTTGTGATGTGAAACAGTATGCCACAGAAACATTAATTCAACAGCACAGAGTGACTAATTGTGTCTGACACTGATATTTCTGCAGATCAGTCCTGGTGTAATTCAAAAAGCTTTGCAGTAAAATAATCAGAATCTAACCTGAACAGATGAGCAGGCAAGACTGGGATCAGGTTGTCGTTTAGGATGAGAACTCGGAGCTTGTAGAGGAACCTCAGAGCACCGCTGTCGATTCGTTTGATCACATTGTAATCGGCCTGCAGGTAGGAAAGAGAAAATGTGATGAACATGTAATTGCTCAAATTGGAAAATAGACTGAACTGAAAGCTAAGGCGCTCTCATTTGAAAAAAAAAAACGCACAGAGATATTGAGGACATTCTGTCACCCCGACCACCTGCTACCCGCTGACTATTTCTGTCGCAGCTATCTATTGTAATGTCGGGCACATTCGTAAATAATTCAGTCAGTCATTGATAATCAATATGGATCATCTCCTCAAGCCCACCTGGAGGTATTCCAAAGCCTCTAAGCCAGCGAAGGTGTCATTTCTGAAGACCTCAAGCTTGTTCTCGTGGAGGTACAGACGTCTCAGTTTGGCCAGCCCGTGGAAGGCTCCCACTCGGATGTCCTGGAGCGCATTGTTGCCAAGGTTTATAGACACTGCGTTGCCAAGGTGCTGAAACCCGTTGCTATAGAGACGCCTCAGCGAGTTCCTCTGGAGGTTGAGTTTGAAAGGGCGGACCCATGACTGTGACACCTGAATGATTAATTAGAGGTCTGATTAGTTATCTTATTAATTACATGAATTTAAGAGTTCGAAACACCCACAAGCCACATTACGGACCGGATATTAGCTGGCGTTTTAATAAGTTAAAAGACAGTGTGCTTTCCACAGACGCGGCCGGAGAGGGGACGGAGAAGAGTGGTACCTGGCTGACGTTAGTGAAGCCCCGCCCGTCGCAGTGCACGTGCAGCACGCCTTCCTTGACCTCGCACGTGCACGGCTCGAAGCACGGCTCGTCCACTTCCTCCTCGGAGTTGTCCACCAGAGGGGTGTGCGTGGAGGTGGGTGTGGGGGTGGGGGTGTGCGATGCCCGGGACAGACACACACACCCGAGGGCCACTGCCAGAGTGACCCACTGCATCCTCCTGCTTCTCCCTCTCAGCTCAGCAGCCTGGGGCTACAGCCCGGCATCGGCCCTTCACCGCACTGCACGGCAAAAAGGCGCAGCGCAAAACATGCACGCATTCAGACAGAAAACACACACACACACACACACACATGCATGGTTAAAAGAGGGCAAACAGCCAGGGAGGCAGCAGCAAAAGTCAGTTCAGGATGAATCAGATTGATGATACATCACAAGCATATTAAAGCAGTCAGGAAATAAATGTTAAATCACACAGACTGCAGTGCCAAGAGGAAAGAATTACATTATATTGGAATAATGATGTATAGGCCAACTGGGGGCCACAGTATGCCATGATATGAGCCGAACCGTGGTAAACATGTGTCAGATGTACCATCCTCAGCACAGGAAAACAAGGCTTTAGATACCGAGGGTTTACGAAAAAAAAAAAAAAAAAAGCAAAAGAGAGAGCGAGAGAGAGAGGACAGATGAATTCAAAAACAACAAGCTTAACAATCCCTCCGCTTCCACAATGTTGCGTTTGAATTAAAAATTCAAATACTGACATTGAAAATGCACAACAAAGGCACACACGTGGGCTAGTTCACCTGTGAATCACAGTTTATCATTTTCAGAGTGGCTTTTTGGACAAGAAGGGGGGGGAAGCTCGTGATGAATATATTCATCTGTATTCTCAAATGCCCGGTGAAGCTAAAATGTCACGCATGTGTTGTTTTAATGCATGCAATATGAATATGGGTGAATGCAAATCAGATTCATAATGCCTCTGTCTAATGAACTGCTTCATCTAATAAGATGAATGGCAATCAGAGAAGAGGAGGATGAGACACCAAATACCCCATATTATCAATCAGCAAAATACGTTAGGCTATCAACTGCCATCGAGTCCTGTCACGATCATTATTGTGATAATGACAGTGGAGTGAAAGCATCACGGCGAATCAAAACTCTTCAGAATTTTCAAAAGGGCTGATGTGACGGCGGCGCGGTGACAGACAGGAGCGTGAACTGATGGTGATAGTGATGGTGGCGGTGATGATGATGAGAATGGCACTGTAATAACAACAGAACGAGAACAGAGTTGCAGCAGTCCTGGCTAACAAAAAGACACACACACACACACACAAAAAAAGAAAAGAAAAACAGCTGAGATTCTGAGGCTTGCATGGGGATATTTCCTCTCAAGTCTTAATGAGATCTAAATTGGATAAAGCATCTCGATCTGCTCATACAGTGTTGAACACTGCCATGCGAAATGCAATAATGATCATGATGGTATGGTAGCTGTAATCATACAGCAATAATCTAGCATCAGCGAGTTAGACAAGGAGGCAGCAGTGAAAACATCACCGCCCGGGAGAGGAAGAGCAATCACAGAGATGATTATGACGGGGAGGGGGGGGAAAGATGAAGGGAGAGGTGGAAACGAGAAGACGAGGAGGAGGAGGAAAAACGGGAACAAGGTGAAGGAATGGAGTAAAGGAGCGACAGACGGATAAAGGAAGAGTAATGGGCAGAGAGTAGGTACAAAGGGAGAGGAAATGGGTGAGGTGGGAGAGAGGAGTGGGATTGCATAAGCAGTAAGAAGTCAGTCAAGGCTGCCACTCAGGATGAGAGCTCACAGTGAAACAGCTGAAATCTGATATTGATTACATCAAAGCCCTCCTCTCGCCCTGCACACAATGTACGCCCGCCTCACAGAGAAACAGCGCCGGAGCCAAGTTTCATGCCTCAGTGTGTGTGTGTGTGTGTGTGTGTGCTGAAAACAATGTGAGAAAGGTCAAACCATATCCAAAAAGTATGCTTTTATAGCCTGCCAAGTACAGAAACAGGTAGCTAGACACGTGTAGATGAATGTGAGCTTTCATAACAAACCAGTGTAATGCTGCAATACTTGTTGGGCATTGTTATAAAAAAATAAAAGCACGGAGACAAGTGAGAACACATCGTTTCTATGGGTTAGACGAGGAAAATTCACTCTGTCTGTGCAGCATCTATGCTTCACGGGACATGCTCAATAGTGTTTGACAAATTGGAAAACAATACGAAATGCAAGCCATTCACAGTCCCAGTAGGCCTTCGTTTTCATCCAAGAAATGCATTGTTTATCGCCGGGCCTGAAGCCCCCCTGTATAGAGGAGATCAATACTGAGTCCAGATGGACCACTGGGATCCCTCCTGTTAGATTCTGCTTTGGTGGATGGCCATCTCTGCTTAATGAGAAGAAACACAATCAACACTCAAGCCTCTTTCTCCAATCAGCCAAGTGGACTAGTCAGCAGTCGGCATAGCTCTGCATCATTATGGTAACAAGAAACGAAAGGACTTATGCGTTGACTGGTGACAAGCGCAGCAGAAAACTCCGTCCGTCTCTCCGCCTGTGTCTTCATGTCCATCTAAACACGGGCCTGACACAGGTGTGGCTTCCCTCCCTGTCTTTCTTGAGTCTCTGAGTTTTTTTTTTTTTTTTTCTCCTTTCCTCTCTTTCTCCCTCCTCTCTCCTCTAGACCTGCACACTGACGCAAGCGAACCAGAGATGACGGTCACTGCTTATTCTTCACCATATTATTCATGTCACATAATTCCAGTGTCTACCTCTCTGTCCTCTCTGTCCGTCAGAACACACACACACGAACACGAACACACACACACACACTCTCTCGCTCCAGCTTCACACAGGCTTTTACATGGGCCCCTGCTCCCAGCACAGACCCGCACTATCAGTCGAGCAGCAGCATCACTGATCAAATGTATAGAGGGGCTATCAGGCTGGATAGCTCTCAGCCCTCCAAGAAAATCAATTAGCCCCCCCCTCCTCCTCACATTACAGCACACAAATTGTAATAGTTAGCAGAATTAAAGCATGACCAATTAAACAGCCTAGTCATTAACAGAACCTATTAAGACATTTACCAGGCTATGGTATGAAAATCCTTGGCAGAGTAACGCAATCCAATTGCATTCCTCATTGTCTGTCTCTTCCCCACCAGCCTTCTCTGATCCACACAGCGACGCTTAGCAGAGCAGGGATGCGGGTAATACTCACTCAGTCCGCCGCCAAAGAATTAGGGAACGACCGAGAAAACACTTTAGAGGCTGACTGTCGACATGTCGTTCACGTTCAGCCGCACTCTCTTCTCTCTCTCTCTCCCCTCTCTCTCCCCTCTCTCTCCTCTCCTGTAGCGGCTGAGGCGGATGGGGAGGGAGGGGGGGGGGGACCAGAGCAAAGAGGGAGGGAGAGGAGCGGGAGGGGGGGGGGACGTGATAAGACTGCAATGAGGTGGAGGATAAAAACCGGGAGAGAGAGAGAGAGAAAGAGAGAGAAAACACCGATTGGCTTTAGGATGCAGGTCCGCTTCTCCACAGTGCAGCCCGTGGGAGCTGCGGCAACTGGACCGCTGAGCAGGCGTGCAATGCGCGGAGTTGTAGCCCTGCGTAATGATGGAGAATCCTCTCCACATCTCGCAACACAACTGGGTAATTCATAGAGGGAGAGAGAAGAGGGGATGGAGGTGGTGGCGGTGGTGGAGGAGGAGGAGGAGGAGAGGGGGGGGAGACGGACGGACGGACGCAGGCGCCGGAATTAATCATGCAATAAGGCGGCGCGCAACTGCTAGTTTGTGTATGAGGCGTAAAAGCGCGCAGGGTGGGTTCTTCTCGTCCTCCTCCTCCTCCTTCTCCTTCTTCTCCAACCGGAGCGAGGAAGCCGGTTCACTTTCTTCATCATAAACAGATCACCAGTTATTTTGCAAAGACTGCAATTCCTGCAACAAGCAATTATTAAAAAAAAAAAAAAAAGATACGACAGAGTTCCAGACCCACCATAAACTTTCCCCTCACGTTGCCCGCGTGTGCAGCCTGGTTATTAAAAAAGAAAAGAAAAGAAAAAAATAAATTAAAAAAATAAATAAAATACCCCGACTGTTCAGCTATACCGACAATAATTTATAATCTCATTAGTTTATTCATCCCTCCTCTTGCCCTTAAGCACCCACGGATTTCGTGAAACCGGTGTGTGTTACCATGGCGACTCGTGCCAGCTGGCTTTTTTCGTCGCACACACACACGCACGCACGCACGCACGCATGCAAACGCGCGCACTCGGGCACGCAACACAGCAAACCACCAGTCAGGGGTGGGGTGGTGGGGTGGTGGGGTGGGGGGGAAGAAAACTGTGGTGACTTTTTTTTTTTTTTTTTTTTTTTCTATAAGAGGGAACAAGCGGAGATTACAGCGGGGCCTGGAAGTGTGCGCGGCCTGCGTCAAAACACCTGTCCTGCCAAATGGAGGCGGTGGGCGCAACAGATGCCGAGCAATGAAGCCCCCACCACCACCACCACCACCACCACCTCCAAGCAGCACCATCAGGACCGAATTTAGTTTCCCCATACCGGCTAATCACAGCCTGCTAGGTGGCTGCTGCTGCTGCTGCTGCCTCCATCGATACAGCCTCTAAGTGGCAGCTATAGGGCCACTTGTGAAGTCCTCTCCCCCCTCCTCCCACCTCCCACCTCCAGTGGACCCAGTGGACTGGGGTCTTCCATCGAGGACACTATAGTGGGGCCACGGTGATGAAAAACGTGCATTCCAAAGCGCTCAAATATCAGTCAGCCGGTTTCATGGCTATAGGAAAAGATTTAATAACAACATGTCTTCCACATTACTGAGCTGAAAGTTCAATTTTCAGTTCAATTTCACATTGATTTCAGCGTGCATTAAGGTGAATCACCTTGAGGAAATGGAGAGGTGCATCTCTCCCTCATGCACACCCTCCTCCCTCCTTCCTCCCTCCCTCCTTCCTTCCTTCCTTCCTCCCTCTCTCTCTCTCTCTCTCTGTCTCTCTCTCTCCATACCTCTCCCTACAGCAGTGGAGGGGGAAAGCTCTCCCCGGAGATTCCTATCAGAAACAGTAACAGAGACGGTTCCAGTAATATCAGGGAGATGTAGATGATGGTTATAGATTTCAGGGCTCTCAGGTGCATTAGTCTGTATTA